GAGACGAGCTGCGCGGATCCAGTCGATCAACACTCAGTGACATCACGCCTTGCTGCGCAAGGGGAAGACTGTGGTGAAACGCGAGTAGTCGTCAACCACCAGCAGAAAGTAGCGCTCGTGACCCTGTCCACGGACGCAGGCCGGGCCCCAACACGTCCATGTGAAGTGTCTGCAGAGGAGCCTCTGTCGGAGGAGGATACTGGGAGGAGTGGGGGGCAGCCGGAGGCGCCCTCGACACAAGAGACACAGGAAGGTCCTGGCCCCAAAGGAAGGGGAGGGAGAGACCGAGGAAGACCAGACGAGAGACAAGACACGGGAAGCCATGTCCCTGAGACGGGGCAAGGAGGGGTGGCCAAGACGGTGGTGCCACAGGAGGGTCTCGTGAGACAGGAGGCGACACGAGCAGGGGCAGCAGACTCAGGACCAGACCTGGACGCAGCAGCAAACACCTGACCCGACGCAGCTACCTGGCCAGACACAGGGACAGGAGGAGACTCAGCGGTCAGGGTGTAGAGGCTCGACCCGGCCGACGGGAGAACGTGGCCAGGTGCCGACCTGTGCGCGCGTCCGTGCAGTGGGTCACCCGCTGACTCGCAGGAGTAAACTGGTGAACCCCGCATCCTGTAGGGCAGCACCACTCACCAAGTCGTCGCGAGAACGAGGGGAGGTACAGGCCTGACAGGGCGCCGAGGGAGGGGGCAGTGGACACGGTAGAACAGTGGGAGAAGTGAGAGAGGACAGGACCCCAGGGGGTCATCCAGGGAGAACGCAACCGGCCGGCCAAGCGGCGTGAGTGTGGTGCGGTCCCTAAAGAAGGAGCGAGAAGCCCCAGAGTCAAGTGTAAAGGTGAGGGAGGCCGAAGCCGACGCGGTACCTGAGAGCGCAGCCTCACTAGTACCTGAGAGCGCAGCCTCACTAGTACCTGAAAGTGCAGCCTCACCAGCACCTGAGAGCGCAGCAGTGTCACAGGCACCTAGCGCAGTCGTACCAATGCCCGGGTCGGGCGGAAAACACCGGTAAGAGTCACCCTCATCACTAATAGACACAGCATACATGGCAGCAAGGATAGCATCAAAGTCTAGCTCAGAGATCGCTACACCGGCTCTAGAAAGGTCTCCCCAGCGGGGGATCTCAGAGGCGTCAGGGAACTGCGGACGCCAAGCGTCCGTCAGGCGGCCAAAGCAGCGCCGCGTGGCATGGGCACCCCACACTGCTCACCCGCGCGGTCGCCACTGCGAAGAACGTAGGTGCACGGGCCAAAGCCTCCACCACGTTGACTCTGCGCATACCACTCACGGAGCTGCTGAGGTGGGGGGATGTCCCGAGAACGCTGCTGCTGCTGCTGCTGCTGCCGCGGACCACCACCAGAGCCGCTTCGCTGCGGGGCACTACCTCAAGTAGCTCCACCTCCCCCGCCACCACCTCCTCCACCGCCGCCACCACACGCCTCTGCCTCCACCGCCTCCGCCGCCACCGCCTCCGCCGCCGCTGCCGCCACCACCTCCACCACTCCCGCCACCACTCCCACCGTCACCCCCACTCCCTCCGCCGCCTCCACCGCCACCCCACCGCCCCCTCCAGCTCCACCTGCGCCCTTGCCCCCTTGCCCTTGCCAGGGCGGCGTCTCCCGCTAGGGGCAGACGCCGCGCCGACCGACTCAAGACCAAGCAGGTCGGCAGCAGCAGCAGAGGCAACAGAGGGCAGCATGGGGAAAGGAGAACACCCCTCAAAGATGGGGGTGCGCGGGTCACCACGAGAGGCTCCTACAGCGACTATACTCTTCTCCGCCGCTAGGAGGGCCTTCTCGAGGAGGTCGACAGTGAGGGTGGTGGGACAGACTGAGAGAAAGTGGTCCGGACTACGCGAAGGGAGTCAGGGAGGCGTGTGACTATGTAATAGAGAGCGATGTACATGGGGGGGGGGTTCTTGGCGCAGAACTCAGCAGGAAGGGCAGCGCGGTAGCGAGTGTCACTAGTGCGGAGGTGCGTAATGAGGTCAGCGACAGTCGGAAAGGAAGTGAGATCAGGAAAGAGGAACGGGAGCATGAGGCGGCTCAGTGCAGCAGTGGCAGGGGAAGAGTAGCGCGCAACGACAGCGTCGTACAAGGTCTGAGCACTCTTGTACTGACTAAAGTGCGCGTGCTCAGTGGTGGGCAAGTGGCGACGCACAGCAAGACGTGCAGCAGCATCGCGGGTGGCCCACTGAGAGCGAACAGTGGGGTCAGCATTAGCAGCAGGAGCAGGAGAGGCGCCAGAGGTGAGGTCAAAGAGAGAAAGACCGTCCGCCCTATCGCACAGTAAAAACAACTGCAGGTCGTCGACCCAGACCTCAAAGTCAATGGCTCGACCCTCAGCGTCAAAAGCGAGGACACTGGGGGTAGCCATGACGATAGACTAGCAGTGCAAGCAGTGGGGAAGGGCACGCAGTAGCAGTGGGGCAATGCCGTGCTCACCAGACAGGGCAGGTTGGGCGGCCCGGTAGCAGGGCGGCTCGGCGGCTCCTGGCGGCTCGGCTGCTGCTGGGCGGCTCGGCTGCTGCTGGGCGGCTCGACGGCTCCTGGGGGCTCGGCCGCTGCCGGGCAGCTCGGCGGCTCCTGGGCGGCTCTGGTGCTCCTGGGCGGCTCGGCTGCTGCTGGGCGGCGCGGCTGCTGCTGGGCGGCTCGGCTGCGGCTGGGCGGCTCGGCTGCTGCTGGGCGGCTCGGACGGTGCTGGGCCGCGTAGGTAGGGCGGCTGGGCCGCGAAGGTAGGGCGGCGGATGGGCCGCATTGAGGGCGGCGGGTGGGTCGCAGGTAGGGCGGCGGGCGGGCCGCAGGTAAGGCGGCGGGTCGGCCGCAGGTAGGGCGGCGGATGGGCCGCAGTTAGGGCGGCGGGACGGCCGCTGGTAGGGCGGCTGTAGGGCCGCAGGTAGGGCGGCGGTTGGGCCGCAGGTAGGGCGGCTGGTCGACCGCAGGTAGGGCGGCGGGTCGGCCGCAGGTAGGGCGGCGGATGGGCCGCAGTGAGGGCGGCGGGTCGGCCGCAGGTAGGGCGGCGGGACGGCCGCAGGTAGGGTGGCGGGACGGCCGCAGGTAGGGCGGCTGTAGGGCCGCAGGTAGGGCGGCGGTTGGGCCGCAGGTAGGGCGGCGGTAGGGCCGCAGGTAGGTGAGGCGGCGGGGCCGCGACGTAGAGGCGGCGGAGCCGCGTAGGTGAGGGCGGCAGGGGCCGCGTAGGTAAGGGCGGCGGGGCCGCTCTGGTGGGGTGGCGGGGCCGCTCAGGTAAGGGCGGCGGGGCCGCGAGAGTAGGGGCAGCGAGGCCGCGATGTAGGGGCGGCGGGGCCGCAAGTGGGTAGGGCGGCAGGGCCGCGATCGTAAGGTCGGCCGCTAGGGCGGCTCGGTGAGAGAAAGGCCCGAGGCGCGACTCGGAAGGAGTACGCTTCGGGCAGGAAAAAAAAAAGAATTCAAGTGGTGGGCCCTAGGCGAAGTTCCCACAGGGGAACCTGCTCTATACCATGTGAAACTTTAAGGAACAGGAATGAATGAACTATGAATGTGTGAGTACAAGTACCAACCCTAATTGGGTTGTACCCCCTATGGGATACCCCACAATAGCCTACACAAAAGTATAAGCTATAAGTTCAGACACAATCCAATATGTAAAATATCGCCCACTTCGTCGTTTTTCTGGCGTGTCTCGCGTGAGGACAAAGTAACCCTCACCCATTACGGGGCCCTGGTTATGGAGCCTCGAGCAAAATCACTTGTCTAGGTGCACGCGTGGTGGATTCATTGACGCGTGGCAAATAATCGCCGCGATTGTTTTTGAACCAATAGAAACAAGCCTGCTACCCTCGGTTGACCTGCACCGTTGGAAACCAATCGTATTTCCCTCCATCGCAACGAACAAAAACGTGAGTTCGTAATGGAGATTAAAGGTGAAGTGCGGTTGTGCGAGGTTCAAACGATTGTTCTAACAAACTGTTGTAAACTTTTCAGGTTGGTAGTGTGTTAACACCACATGTTAATGACACCTCGTCCTTCAGAGGTCCATTTCAACTCATTCCTCGCCCCTCCCCCAAGCATTTATGGTCGGGGGGGGTAGCTCCCTGAGGCTTCGTCATTTCTCACTTGTTTCTCTAAGATCTGGTTTTTCTATTTTTCACGTTCCTTGACTCAATCTTCTCTAGAAGCTCCAGCGCTTAGGCTACGTCCCTGCCACCTCACGCTCGTGTGGATTTCGAATAGGCGCATTGAGGATATTGATACAACACCACGAGAGCCCATCGGAGTCCGTCACTGTGACAAATGTAGGTGATTTTTTTTTTTTTTATGTTGTAGGCAGGTTCCACTTTCATTTCGCTACCATATCAACGTAGTTTCAACTTTATGTTTAAATGTCACTAACCTTTGTCTTTGCTGAGTCGATCAATCTGACAATGTGATTTATGACTGATTTTTATGCGTTGACGTCTGTCGTTATTTTCTGCCTCGATTTTCTTTGATGTTTTTCCCGATTCCCCCCCTTTTTATCATACCAAGGTTTGGCAATCTGCAATCGACTCTCCTTGTGGTCCGCTCATCTCCATTTACGCCTTTACACTGAAGCTCTTGGTAAGCATTTTCTCGATCATGCTGCAGGAACGTTGTCTAACAATTTAGCCGTATGTGTTCGTTTGATTCCTGTCCAATTGTGCTTTGTTATTATTGTTTTACTGGAAGTGGTTCGGGGTTTTTAACATGTCCTGGATTTTCTGTTTTTTTCTGATCCTGCAGGAAATTACAAGGTTGCTGTTTTACCCTTAGCACAAGACAGTTTCTGGTTGTAGAAGTTGTAGATACAGTAGCACTGAGCAGCTTGGAGTGGGTGTTTTGTGTAATTTAATGTAATACATCGCATTATTGTGCTACAATTG